CAAGCAGTCTCTGGCTCCTCCTCAGTGTACTGTAGTGTAGGCTGACTTCAACCACAGCTTCTCCAGCTTCAGTCATTTATCAAAGCTAATATCATACTATAAAGATACATGAAGAAACAGAGCAAGTGGAAACCAAGTTTGATCATGGCTTCTTTCATGTGTGACTTCAGCTGCCCTCGATTGTTTATTTCGGTTGGGTCAAACACTCCCATGTTGCCACTTGGCACCATAATGAACCGATATATATTCCAAGTGGCAACAGGCAAGTTGAGCAGGAAGATGAACCAGTGCAAGGAGACAAGCATCAGGACGCTGACAACGGAATGGCCAATCATTTCTGGAATCACCCACTTGTTTAATTTCGAGCAACATGATCTAGCATTAATATAATCACATTCTAAATCAGATAATGTAATTATCTGAGAAGTACATGGAGAGGAAGATCAGCGCGCAGCAGTCCAGCAGAGAAAAGATGAACACCACCGCCTCCATCCTCCGCCGCCGCCGGGGCCTCGCTGTCAGCCCAACGCGCCTGTCTATATTTATTTCTAACTAAAAACTTTGGCACTCCTCTACATATTTAACTGAAACCAATATTATACCCTATCCCTGCATGTCCTCAAAGGGAAAATAGCTTTTTATGGATTTGATTATAATGTCTCAGAGCCCCTATCTGATGGTACCCTAAGTTTATGAGCTCTCTGTCAGCCTTTGGGGAATCAGGCACTCACCCATCTCAATACATCTCAATAAGCTGGACATTGTTTTAGCTTAAACTTGTCTAAGTGTGTGGAAACCCTTTCTGGAATTATGTTTGGAGTGTTATGAAATCTGTAGGTCAGTTTGGGAAGAACTGATAGCTTTACGATATTTGCTCTTCAAATCCATAGATCAATAAGTCGCTTAAATTATATAGGTTTTTTAAAAGTATTTGGTACAAGGTCTCACTATGCAGCTTGGACTCGTAGTGATCCTCCTGTTTCAGCCTCCCCAGTGCTGGGACCACAGGCATGCGCCACCATGTCTGGACTCAGTGGCTGGCTCAGCCCACCCAGGGGTGGGCCCAGCACATCATGTGGTGCTGGGGATTGAGCCCTGGCCCCTGCACTTGCCTAAGCAGGTGCTTGGTCCACTGAGCTATCCCATCAGTCCTAGGTCTTCATTAAATTTCTTCATCAGCATTTTATAATTTGGTGCATATAGATACTATACATATTTTGTTAAGTCACACTTATTTCATATTCTTTGGAGCAATTGTAAGTGGTACTGTTTTAAATTGCTGTTTCCACATGTCATCAACAGACACAGAAGCTTTTATTTTTGATAGAACAAGGACAAGTGTACCTGTCAGTAAACTTGCTCAATTGTTTCCCTTTAACCAGCTGGACTAGTATTTACCCCAACATTCAAGGTTCTCCACTGTGTGCCTCTGAGTCTCTTTAATTTGACCTCACACCTAATGGCTAAATACCAGCAGCAACTGCCACTGGGTCTGCGCATCTCTCACCTCAGTACTCCTTCATTCCACCTCCATGTCTTCAGTCATGCCATTTCTTCTCTAGATGACTCCTTTTACTGATTCCTTCGCCATGAACTAAATCTTAATTATCCTTCAAGAAGCAGGTCAAAGCTGTTTATAAGATGCCTTCCTTTAAAAAATCCTCTTATGCCAGTCCTCGCACATGTTTGTAATCCCATCTACCTAGGAGGCTAAGTCAGGAGGATCAAAGCCTGGGCCATTTAACTTAAAAAAAAAAAAAGCTCTGGGTACAGTAGCTAAGTGGTAGGGTACCCCTGGCTTCAAGCCTTAGTACTGAAGAACAAACCAAAAAACAACCTCCCACATTGCTTTTCTCTGGACTCTGAGCCCATATTATATGCCACTCTATCATTAGTGTTTAGTTAGCTTTAGTCTTGTTTCAGTAAGATGATCCAGAGTGAAGAGACTTCTAGAACAGTTGTCATAGGACCACATAGATGGAGGACAATTATAAATGAAGAAAAGGCAGACGTTTTAAGGTGTGTCAATTAGAATTACTAGGAAGGCAGTATGCACAGGGTACACTGCACCATAAATTCTTTTGAGTCTTTATCCAGGTACATCTGTGTTGTCCAACGCTAGGCTAAGGACTCCGACTCTTTCTTAAAGTCCCAGTCCCTCCAATTTAGCAGATTTGAGATTCAGCTGCTTTCCAATTACTCTCTCCAAAGTGTTCTGAACACGGCAGTTCTATAGGTAGAGCTCCAGTAAGCCCAGTGAAGCTGCAGTAACATCTCCAGGCCACCAGAGGTCAGCGACCAAGCAGCGAAGAGAAAGCTCCCCCTCCACAGAAGTCTGCAAGAGGTCAAAGGCGCCGGCTGCAAAGTTGGGGCTCCGTCAGTAGCCTTCACGCTTCCGGTACAGCATGAGGTCTCGGCTGTCTTCCATCTCCGGTGGGTTCATTTTCCTCCTCTAAAAGATGCGCTGAAAATATCCACAGCCTTTCGCCATCATGCTAACCTTAAATGATTACCAGTCACAACGAATGCGCTTTAGCAGCCCGACTTAAAGGCAGAAAAGTAGCAAAAGAGATGTATTGCTTTCCAACCTAATCCCAGCCCACTTCGTAGTACTCCTGCCAATTAAAAAAGCCCCTTAGGTAATGTCCACATAGATCCCAACAACAAACAGTGCCTTAGCGGGGCTAGTGTCCCTACTCTAGTACAGTGCAAAGAGCTAGATCATTCCTACACATAAATTCTGGCTCAAGGAGCAGTCCCCTCGCAGTGTGCTTTTCTGTCATTAATCACATCTTTGTTCTGTGATATCCACGTGAGTCCTTCTCAGAAACAGCTTCATGCTCAAATGCTCAAAGAACACTGGAATAAAGCTCCGATTGTCCTAAGTCAGTGATTCCAAGTCCTGGTTTGTCACCACCTCAGGTCTCCAGTTTTGCAGCGTGTGTAATGTCTTCTCAAAACAAACCGATTTCAATGGACTTAAAATGCACGATGTATGTGTCGTGAAATCTTCAAAGGTTTTTACACCTCTCGAGAGGCAGTGTGTCCCTGGTGTAATTTAAGGGTGATTCTGTGTTGTCTGGTGTAGAAAATAGTTTAAGGAGAATACTAGGCTGCACATACTTATGCTATTTGTAAATACTGTATAAGCAAAATAAAATAGGAACATTTTTTTGGGGGGGAGCTTTCAACGAGAGTTGGCCCAATGAGTAGTGCGATTTTTCTTAAAGGACCTATAACTTCTCTCTCTCCTAAGTCAGCTCGAAAGACTTTAATTTTTTTGGTTTATTTTTGTTTGTTTGCATTTCTAAAAGAATGGTTCCAGTGCTCTCAAGTCACAGTTTGCGTCGTCTCTCAGTTGGCGAAGCGGCAGAAAACACCCGAGGACCTGGGCGAAGAAGGCTGTGGTCTGGGTGGGTGGAACCTGCACTACCTGTCCGGG